TCTGTGTGTTGCTTGGACGGTGAGATGTGAAGATGAAGGAGTTGTGTGTTGATCCAAGTTCAGGAATGGAGAGCCTGAGTGTTAATACTCTTTTGTAGACGGGCTCCACACACACCCCGACCCGTGCCCACTCCCAACACACTGCCATGTAACACACATGAACTGGAACACATCATACTGAGTGTAACCCAACAGATTCAAGAGAGGACATCTCTCAATTGAGACATGTTTTAGTCACAGCAGCACAGATAAGACATTGCACATGAATTAGAGGTAAATAAAAAACAATACGTAGACCATGTGCATAAGATATACAAAATACAAAATACGCAAAACTGTGAATATATATATAAATATATCAATAATGAAGGATATCTATAGAGTATATATATTGAATACACAATATAAATATACAAATATACAGAATAAAAGGCAGCATACATTATGCTTGTCCAGCCTGTCAAACTCACAAAATGTAAACATTGAATACAACACACGGAAAAACTGAAATGTTCACTTTAATTAAATGTATCATGTCAACGGATTTCCCATAACTGTACTAGGTTAGTTGCAATAATATTAAGTTTAATTAATTAATATTATTGCTTTCAACTAACCTAATACAGTTATGTGAAATCTGTTGACACAATACATTTATTTAAAGGCAATGGTTCAATTGTATACTATATATACTGTATACACTTTACAATGAACATTTGAGTTAGCAGAATAAATGATCAGACTCCTTGTGTCCCCAGAGGAAGAGGTTTGTTGTGGTCTGTCAAAGTGTCCAGAGACGGCAGGACAAACACCTAACCGGCCGCAGGAGGACCGCCGGGACCCCGACCCAGAAGCAGGGTCAGGGTCGGGACCGCAGCTCAGTGTGAGCGCTGAGCAGCAGACTCTCAGGGAACCAAACGTTCCCCCCCCACAGCTGGCCCTGCAGCGGTTCACTTACCCAGCGCTTCATATTTAAGGGAAAACTAAAGCCAGTGCAGGAAAACAATGTCACTTTGAGAAGGTTCTATATTGAAAGAAATGGAAAAGCACATTTTGGATTGCATTTATGTGTACCAAAATATCCCGTCACAGTGTGTTACAGCACATTGTAACTTTTCATGGTATTCAAATAAAAAATTAGACAAAGCCGTAGTGAATTTAGGGCATGTCCACTCTTCCACATAGAATTTATTCAAATGTCGGATTCATCTTTATTAAATACTACATTTTATTTGAATGAAGATAAAAGTGTGTGATTATGACATTTGCTTGAAAGTTGACTTTTATAAAGCTGTATGGAACAAGGCAATGTGCTTACTGAGGCAGCGCAGAGTTTCACCACAGCAATTTCATGTTGGTCCGATGAACAAAAGAGGTACGGGATGCAACAGCATCTGAAGGTTAAACATTGTTTCTGAATGGATTTGGATGAAAAGCACGAGGCACGGATCATCTCAGTAATTGTAGTAGAATGATTCAATGATCTATGTCTTCTTCAGTGTTTTGCACAATAGTGGTATTGTGTATAGTGTCTTAAGAATTGAATATGAAATAAGTTACATTACATGAATGCCTCATTGTGTTGTTCAAAAAACAATATGTGACTTCCTTGTTTCATAAACATTATATATATAGGCCTAATGTTTTTGATGTAAAAAGACAGTAACTATTTCTAAGGAAGATTGTAAAACTAAGAATAACAGTGGCATTTTCTTTTTCGAAATATTAGTCTAATCAAGTCCATTACATTTCTTTTCATTACACAACATTTAGCTGACGTTTTCATCCAAAGTGACTTCAAATAATTCCAATAAACCATAAAGGTTCAAACTTATTAGGGTTTTATATTTTTAACCTATATCATACACTGATATTTCCAGACTTTTATATGACTTAATAGGTGACATGAGAGTATGTGCTACCCCTTAAGTGATAAGGTCTCTTCAGTGTCCTTGGAGAACTTCAGGAATCTTTAATGGTATTTTATGAGAGTATGATACCTAAGCAGCTAAAGAAATGCCATTAAAGTCAGGTCAGTGTGTGGACCATAACGTCATCACAGGCACACAATAACTCACTTCCTCTGGGGATATTATTATTCTGTTCCAGAGTATTTTCTCTAGGATTTCAATCCAACTGCATACTTGAAGTATTTCCGAGTATGCTGTGGTCCCGGTGCTTTCTTATGCTAATGCAGGTCTGACATCAGCAGTGAGATCAAAGCAGGGCAGGGGGGGCTTCTTTAAAGCTGAGTCTGCCCCCACCCAGCCTCACTCTCTGTCTGCACTCACACACTCCGCGGCACCACTCCCGACACACACCATGCGTACCTGTCCGGACATATGCTACCCCCCTACACTGGATTTTACTCATGCATCAGACTGAAACTGTCCAAAGGATATTCCGAGCTGCTGAGACTTTGTTCCTGTCTGTTTTTGTTCCTTGCTGAGCGGCAGAAGGTGAGCTGAAACTGTTTGGCTGAAGTTCGTGTGTCTTTGCTCATGAGATAGAGTTAGAGTTTCATATCATGGAGTGATTACAAAGCTGATTGTTTGGCTGTGTATGAGTTATTTGCTGGGAAAATTGTGGGAAGATTTGTACATCGGAACAAAATTGTATCAAATCAAACTTTATTGTTTTTAAAATCATAAAAGTGTTCAGATTTCCCAACTTTTGCGCATGCTGCTCCTTAAGGCTGAGGTCTAAAGATAACATGTATTTCTTCATAAGCAGATTGGCAGGCAGCATTGTCACAGGTTATGATAGAAGCATCTGTCTCCGACCTTGTTAGTGAATCTGCACGAATGAGATCCTGCTCGGTGTACCGGGAGTCCTCCGCGCGCCCTGCGCTGCTTATCTCGGCTCGGTGAGGCACACACATCGCAGGGTGTGTTTGAGTGTGTGAGGCTATCAGCCTTTATCTTTCAGGGGAAACAGGAGCTCCCATTTAGCCCTCTTCGGCCAGATGTACATTTAAACAGTTAATCCACTTGAGGCCGTGATTTCTGTTAACAGATATCACGCAAAGCGGTGGAAAACGCTGTAAATACGCAGGAAATACTGTAATCCAAGGTATATGCATTCTTTTATCATTGTAGTTTACAGGTCAGAATCCTGTTGCTTGGAAAGGTGTTGGTCGAGTTTGAATAATTATTATCACAGTTTCGAACGCGTCTCCGCCAATCAGCGGAACTGGATCTCTGAAAGGTCGCTATCAGCAGTTTTAATGCTCTCAGTTTAAGCTCTCTTCAAAGAGATTTCTTATCAACAGCTCACTACCTTATCAGATAATGCCTCTGATGCGCTGACTGAAGGTTAGTGCGCGGATTACACTCCAGCTCAAATTCTTTACATTTGTCCATGTGAAACAGGGTCAACTTAATTACACTGACCAACGAGCTTATTTAGAGGAAAACACACTGTAGTGTTTCAGCCTCAAAGTAAAGCAGAAGTACTGGAGATTGTATCAAACAGGGCTGCCCAAAGTGGGGCCCGGGGGCCAAAGATGGCCTGCCAAATGTTCTTCTCAAAAACATTTTCAATTGATTAAAAAATATATAGGCTAATATAAATCAGTGTAAGTGTTTTGTGATGTAAAGTGTTCTTTAAATATGTTGGAACCCTATTAAAATTGATTTCTCACTAAATATGGCTGGTCGAGTGATACCGAAAGTTTGACGCCAGTGGTGTATGTTGGGTAATAAGTTACCCCTTGGTATGGAATATTCATTTAAACCTCATGCCCCAACAATGGGATATTAAATTCAACAATCACCTATGACTTTATTGCTGTATATTATAGAATTATGTGGCTACAAAACAACAGTCAATCATTTCCAACTCCCTGAGGAAAGTCAGCGCTGATTTACACAATCTGTAGCAAACATTTCCTACAGACCTCGTTCAGATTTCTTTGTCCTGAAAGTTTTTATTTGTCCTCGTGTAAAAGGAGCTGCAATACCACGGATGTTGTTAAAATGGTGTTTGCATGCTTACAAAAGTGTCAAAAAAGTATTTCTTGCAAAACACGACTATTCCACTTATTTCAATTTTTTTCCTTTAATTATTCCTTACTCATTGTGTGCGTAATGTTTGAGATTGCTGACGTAGAACTAAAATAACATTCCTTCATTCGATCTTTCTGCCACAGGATTTGATTTGGTAATAAATAACCATGTATGTCAGAGCTCACACACAGGCTTTCACAACGATTCTGTTTTTATTTTGCTCAGCAAATCTAGAAAGTATACTGGAAATGTTAGAACTGGCATGTTGTGACATTGCAAAGCCGTAATTAATGTTTTATTCTTTACAGGGTTTAGAGGAGGAGGTCGTGCCATGAGAGCTGACTTTTGAGTCTGAGTCAAGAAGCCCAGTAGCCCTTTGTGTGTCCTGTGTGAAGCGTCCCACCATGAGGAGCAGCTCTCATGTCCTGCCTCTCGGTGTGCTCACGGCTCTGCTGCTGTCTCAGGTCTGCTCGGGCATCAAATGGCTGTAAGTATTCCGAGGAGTGGCGCCGTCTCATTCTGCTTTTACATTCAAACAATCTCCAAACAGATGACGTAAGGTAGATATGCGATATATGTTCTTTTCTGCATGTTTTATGGAAGGGAGGGCCTGTGGCAGCTTTAAAATGGGCCCCAAAATTCCTCAGGTTGCTCGCGATGGAGGGAGTGGATAGGTTCTGTACATGTATCTGATAAAGGGGACATTAGATTGACAGTTCCTCAAATTATGAAGGGAAACCTTTTTGTTTTATTAACTCTATTGCGGCTTCAGTAAAAGGAGATGGTGTGGCTTCAAAATCTCGGATCACTTGTGCCCCTGCTGTATAGTAATAATAAGATAAGAGTGGAATAAGATGGAGATGACAGGCGTCATGGTGGCGCAGACAGCCCAGTGTGTGTAGTCTAGTTAGGCCTCAATCTGTGTAAAAATAGTGCGCTGCAGAGCCTAAATGTTGACACAAATGTTGATTTCTCCACGCTGTCTTTATGGTTAAAGTAAACAATAATTTCACCATATTTCTGGAAAGTCTGTCAAGTTACCAAGTTGCTATTTTTGTGTTGAAGTTATACATGTTATTGTTTGGTATTCCTATAAACCCTTTCGTTGTTTGCGTTTTCTGCTGCGTGTCTCTTTATCAGAGTTTCTATCCCTGAGCCTTATGTCTGAGCACTGTGAAAACACAATATCCACGGCCTCTTATCAGAGTGAGTGGTTGTAACGCTCACAGTGGGAAGACTTAAGCAGATGTACCCATGAGAGCAGGGATGGCATGTGCTAAATCTAAGCTCTTACAGTCCTGATAATGCACGGCGGTGCAATGCAAAACAGATGCGGCTGTAAACACCTGTGAGTGCCGGGTTACCCCCGGCCCACTGGAGTCACAGCTTATCATTGGGCACAGAGTGGCGGCCCCTTGGCCCCTAATGCAAAACAGGCCAAGGTGCAGGCGGCGCTGCCTGGTTCTCACGAACTCTCAACAGTTCAGAAAGGAGAGATCAGAGCGGACCTGCGGTCTCTCTGTTAAGTTAATACTTAATCAGTTTTAAATGTTTAACTCGAATGTGTGCACCCTTTAATAGTCTGTAAACATATGATTCATGTCAAACTGAGGCCACCGAGGGCAGTGCTTACTGTGGTGGAAAAAGCAAATATAGAAGGATCATAGTTTCTCATCAGACTGCTGATCTGATTTTCAGTTTTTTATATTTTGGGAATATCTATAGACATCTTCTGTGCTTTAACAAAAAGAAAAGCGCTGCGCCAAGAACGTGTCACTTATCGTTTCTTTTGGGATTTACACGTGATAAGATGGTTCTCCGCCAAAATATTTCCCCTCCTGAAATATTATCTGTTTCAAGTGTTTGATCGGATGTTTCTCATAGGCTTGAAATGTGTGTGAAATTGCTATCACACAACTGTAACTGAAACGTACAGTTTCCCATAATCGTGATTCTTTTATCGTGATGAAACAAAAAAAGTGAGCTCCCTGTCATGTGTTGTATAATGCATACTGACCCACAGCTCCTCTTTGTGCTCAGGTCGATATCACACGCCCCTGCATCTCTCCACATCAACCAGACCCAGCACTGTAAGCTGCTGCCGGGCATGGTGTCCTCCCAGGCCCAGCTGTGTCGCGGCAACCTGGAGCTCATGCAGACCATCGTCACCGCCGCACGGGAGGTCAAGAAGACGTGTCAGAAGACGTTTTCTGACATGCGCTGGAACTGCTCCTCCATTGACATCCCAATCGATGCCCAGAAGTATCGGCCAGACCTCGAACGAGGTATGATCATTCACCGTTTGGAATGACAGCGCAGACATTGTTATTTCCAAAGGTTTTACCCACAGGAGTAATTCCTGACATTCATTGAATAACCGATCTGAGCTCATGAAGCATTAATTGAGTTCTGTTTACAGTAACTTGTGAAATGACCCTCGGGCCTCTAGTGGTGTCGGCCCTCAGACGCTGAACTAGATGTATCTGTATGCTAATGCAGGTTAATACATGCTTTTTGAATGAAGAATGATGTCCTTCGCAAAGAGGATCTCAGGTTTTAAGATGATATGTGGCCTCGTCTTTCAACTTTTAGACTGCCGGATGAATTATTCAATTTCCTGGCCGGCCTTTACCAGAGACATGGACTCAACTGTTATTTGAGAAGACATACAAAACGTGTATATTCTGTATGATATCAAATTGGCTTATTTCTGTAATCTGAAGCATTATCCGACTGCACGCCTGTTTGCGTTGCAGTCTGACTTCAGGCTGCTTCTTTTGCCAAAAAGTCAGCCGGAGACAGTTTCTGGGTTAGGGTTAGTGGGTGTGCAGCGCTCTCAGAAGGGACATGGCTGCCATTTGCCAAATGAAAAGTCTGAACAGGAAATGGCTCATCTCTGTGTAGCGGGGGCTTGGTTTGAATGGTAACCAACATCAGTCAAAGCTGACCCTTATACACTTAAAGTATTTTAACAATCGATACATTGTTCAAAGAAATGTTGTAAAGCAATAAAGACAAATATTCACTAGCTCAGTAAATTATAAGAATTTGCTCTTTCTTTTTGGTAGCAAACCTAATATAACTAAATAACTGCTAGTGACCTCTGACTATAATTTGTGTGTTAGCATTCAACAAAAAAAGATCTATGAATAACTTTGATGTCACTCTCAGTTTGCAGGATGGGGCTTATTTTTGTACAGATATAAAATGTGTGTTTCTGTCCTGCCCTCAGGAACCAGAGAGGCTGCGTTTGTGTACGCGCTGTCCGCAGCCACCATCAGCCACACCATAGCGCGGGCATGCACCACTGGAGACCTGCGGCAGTGCACGTGTGGGCCCATCCCCGCACAGATCCCAGAGCCCGGCTACCGCTGGGGGGGGTGCGCTGACAACCTGCACTATGGTCTGATCATGGGCTCAAAGTTCTCTGACGCGCCCATGAAGATGAAGCGTGCCGGCTCCCACGCCAACAAACTGATGCACCTCCACAACAGCGAAGTCGGGAGACAGGTTAGCAATGTGGCAAAATGTGTAACCCTCAAATGTCTTTGAACAAAACGCATAATTCTCATGAAATCTAAAATTAGAAAGACAAACAGTTTCAAAGGAAATCAATGAATAGAGGACTTTCTGAACCTTATAAGCATGGAAGGAGCTGTCTCCCTCTTTAGGGGATATGATGAGGTTATTCCTGGACTCTTATAAATAATGAGAGTCCAGTCTCTTTGTAATAAAAGGCAATATTCACTCTGGGATTCAATATTGACACCAGGGCTAGGCATTGTGAGTTTAATATAGATCATTAAATAAATTAATAACAATATAATAATATTTATGTTTTGTTAAATGATATGTTTTTTTGAGTTTTCTGGGACCATGGACTGATGCAAAACCATATGCATGCAGGTGTTCCTGTGGCTACACAAAATAAATGAACACTGTAATTCCATACCCACCCTACTTCTATATTTCTTCCTGATTTGATTTGTGTGAATGTGGATCCCTAGATGAAGCTCTGTCTCACCTCCTCAGGCCCTGCGAGACGCGCTGGTGATGAAGTGTAAATGTCACGGGGTGTCCGGCTCCTGCTCCATCAGGACCTGCTGGAGGGGTCTGCAGGACCTGAGGGAGATCGCCATGGACCTGAAGATCAAGTACTTGTCTGCCACCAAAGTGGTTCACCGGCCCCTGGGAACCCGCAAGCAGCTGGTCCCCAAAGACATCGACATCCGGCCGGTGAGGGACAACGAGCTGGTGTACCTGCAGAGCTCCTCAGACTTCTGCACTCAGAGCGAGAAACTGGGCTCTATCGGCACGCAGGACAGGTGAGACATCAGCGTGTGGAGCGTTGGGAGGGTTGCTTAAAAACGATTACGGTTCAAATGACTAATAACCTGTAAACAAGTTTAATCAGTACACACAATAAAGAAGGAATGTAACCTGTTCCCCTTACTTTTGGCTGACATCAATATCAAATTAAATGCAATCAACGCAATAGAAAATAAATATCATACATATCAAGCAGACATTTTACGACTGGCTCCAAAGCCACAACATAATGAGAATGAAAACTATTTTAATTCAAAGTAAATTCAGGCAGTATTCCTACCTATACTGAGTAGTGGACAACAAAATAGCTTACATAAAACAGAGATTTTGGTTTCCTTTTCTCCATCGTAAAATGATTGTGAAATTTCCAGCCACTAAAAGTTTAACTCCGGACTTGTTTCACTCGGTGTGAGAAAAGTTGTGAGCATGTATTGTTATTTTAAAACGAATTGCAACATTGTAGTCCGGCCAGGATTCCCCATGTTTACATTTTTGTTATAACAGTAGTCAGACTTTTTGGTTTTATGTAACTCTAAGTAAATAAAGTTAGTTCGGTTTTTGCATCCTGATTATGCAACATGTAATCCCCCGGCCTGATTGGTGTGACTGTGAGAGAAAGAGAGTGATAGTTCTCTGGTGTTAGGTTTATTAGCACGACTTGTATCAGTCACATACCCATAAAGCTGACTATAGGAGACTACCGATCCTGAATGTCATCCAGGATGTTGACTCTGTGAAGTGGCATCCTGCCTGGTGGCCCGCAGAGTTTCAGGCTGGCTGATAAAGGCAGCGGCCCTGAGAGCGCTCCGTCTGCAGCCTGTCTGAGCATGTGTGAGGGAAAAGGCACTGAGTCGTTGTCCCGCTATCTAATGACTAATGGCGTTATTCTTAGGACTGAGTGCACTCGAGCTGATATCGATTGGAGAGGGCCACACAAAAGGGGAAATGGTCGGCTGCAGATAAAGGTTTATTTACACCGTTCAGCTCTGGTGTTTGAGTTGGGACAGTGTTGCGTGCCGCTGGTTGGAGCTCTGTGAGAAGTTAGTGGGCAGAAGGGAGCCCACATGTCTGAGGGTCTGACTCAGGCGCAGATCTGGAATATGGCACAATTTTCCATAACTATTTTGCAAGGAATGACAGGTCGTGTCCCTGGCTGGCCCGCACTGATCATCTGTTTGCTTAACCGGAATCTCTCAGAATAAAGTGTTGCACACCCACATGTATTTTAGTATGCCACCTACTAGTCGAGTAAGAAAGCTCCACTAAATTATGCATATATTGTAAATGTCATGAATCATATGACTGTCATATCAACTGTCCCTCAGCCATAGGCCACACTACAGATAACCAGAAGACATGTACCATGTCAAGAACACTCACAGTGTGTGTGCAGCCTGATAAAGCAGCAGCCACACACAGACTGCGACATTGTGCTCCTGCCAAATCATGAGGCACCCGCTTTGCTGCTGTGATTACGTGAACGTGTGACACTGATGTAAGAGTGAGTGTACGTGCCTGGACACCAATTATTACTGCTGCCAACAAGGTGATGTTTTCATTTTGGTTTGTTGGCTGTTTGTCAGCAGGAGTAGGGGAAACGCACAGGCCCAACTTTCATGAAACCTGGTAGATGGTCCATGGACCAAGGAAGAACGCATTCAATGTTGGTATGGTTCTGAATCATGGTGCCCACAAACATAATTTCCCCTTATTGTAAACAGCCTTATAGGGAAGGTCCGCGCTCTCTGGCCCTTATAGTTACCATACATGTCTAGACCGATCGTATCAAGGGATTCTTAAACTTCCCCTTGAGGAGAGGTTCATCAGTTTTCAACTTGAATTGACCTCTCTTCTATACGTTGTTAGCTGTGGCGCATGCACAGGACCCGAGAGCGGGACATACAACGAGAGAATCTGGGACAGCCAGAGTTAATCTTAGCAGCCGTTCCTAATAGATATAATGTGATCACTGGTAAGAAAAGTGTCACGGCCCTGGGAAGAGACCTGCTATTGAAGCCTGTGCTGTGGTCTTGAATTACATTACCTAAAGCAGCAGATGTGAGCTGCGGAATGAACAGTCCTGTGCTCTTTCTCCACTTACAGCACATCAGTGATATAACGCGATCACGCTCCTGACAAAACATAACTGTGTGGGCTCTCTTTCCAGCTCCCACCGATGACCTGTCTTACACTCTTAGTGAGGCCTGTCCCTGTCCCTCCTCCTCCTCCTTCTCCTCCACTCCCGCAGCAGTGTCTCCCTCCCCATGCTGGTCATTAACACTCTGCCATCATAAAACAATGCAGAAAGAAAGGGAGGGCAGCGCCGTGTATTCAGTGTGATTTATGGCGGGGCTATTCTCCGCTCATTCAAAATGCTTTAGGCTTCTGAAAGGGGACGCTCCCAAGAATCCACTCCCCAAAAGGGTCGAGGCACACGGGACGGTCAAGCACTTTTAAAGGACTATTGTGTGCTCTGTGCAAAATCATTCAGAAAGAAGCTGTAAACGTATTGTCTTAGGTCTGAAACCAAACTGAAAATAGAATGTAACCTCCTTTTTCTCCTCTTGTTGAAGCTAAAACATTATATAAGATAAGATAATACTTTATGATCCCAAAATGGGAAAGGTTTTCGTCACAGCAGCATGCATTGTTTTACAAAGACATTGCACATCATTTGAAAAATAAAAAGGAAAGAAAATAAACAAACATCAAATAGAAACATCTCAAAAAATAAAATTAAACAGAAAACATATATATATATAAAAGTAAGATATATACCAGTTGACCCTGAAAGATATAAATCTGTAGACTGTCAGACAAATAAACACTATGAAGTGCCAAATTACAGCTAACACAATTTAAAAGCAAGATATTATTTACATTAAGTGTGCAAGGTATGGCATATCAATTAAATATAAATGTAAAGTGTGAAGAAAAGTCCAGTTATCAAAAGAGGAGCAGTGAGTTCTCTGCCAGCTGATTGGTTAAACAGAGTTATCGCAGTAGGAATGATTTCCTGTCCCGCTCTGTGTAACAGCGCAGCTATCATTTCTAACTTAACATGTTCCCTCTTTGTCTATGCTCATTTCAGACAGTGCAACAAGACGTCCCTGGGCAGTGACAGCTGTGACCTGATGTGCTGCGGCCGTGGCTACAACCCGTACACGGAGAAGCTGGTGGAGCGCTGCCACTGCAAGTACCACTGGTGCTGCTACGTCACCTGCAAGAAGTGCGAGCGCATCGTGGAGAGATACGTCTGCAAATGAGTGCCGGCAGCACCGAGGCTCAAGATGAACCAAAGCACTACAATACCAAGAAGCTTACTTTTGTCTTAAGCTTTAGCATGTGTATCTCAACAAGAAGTGGTCTCTTCTTGTGTCAGTATCATTTTTGTATCGAATCTCCAAAGTGCCAACTGGGCTTCTAAGCTTTCTGCTTCACAAACCTGGACGTGGCTGCAGTGCCAGTTTAAGTGAAGACCGCCGTCCTCCTGGGTATTTCCTTTTTCTTGTTAATGATTATGAGTCCCCCTGAGAGGGATGTTGAAAGTCTCTATTTTATTATATATCTAATAAAAAGAAATAATATTGGATTTTATGCTGGAGGAGAGGGATTTTCTTCTCCCTTCACTAAACAGAATTGTTTGGCTTCACTCCACGGAAAGGGTCTAAACTCTAAAGGATCCGCAGGGTACTTTTCTTTAGGTACTATTACAACTGTTTTCCTCCGCAGCAATGGACAATAGGGGGAAAAGGAACACAAAGGGAACTTCAAGTACTTTCAATCATGGAACATTTTTGTGGTTGTTGTTTTGGACTCTCACCATGCGTCCTGTGTGGATCTTCACGTGCCTGCATCCCTGTGGATTGAGAGAAGAGCATTACGGGCTTTGTGAAATGGTGCCTTATCTCTTTATGTCTCACATGCAGTTCAAAATATATTCTATTTTTCAGAGCATATGAGCTGAACTCATGGATTTTGTAAACCACTTTTGTGTGGATGTACATACTGTTATTTTGTATACTGAAATAAAGAAAGAAGTATTTATAAAATAATGAAATGCTCTTTACTATTGTTACACGTTACTGGAATGTTTTTATTTTTTCTGTGCGCTGCACCTTTAATGATGTACTGCGTCGCAGATTTTTGGCAAAGAGAAATCCATAATTACCAAGGATAATTATTCTAAGCTAAGCAACATTTCCTGTAATTCCCTGAAAATCCAAGGATTATAGAATAAGACTTTAGCAGAAATGATAACACATTGTGATTGTAATTCAGCTCAGCACAGTGAGTAATGCGTTGCAGGCAGCATTCAGTCTATTGGGATCTCTGTCTGAATCACACACATCCTGGGAAAGTGTTTGTTTGGACATTCCACCTCCTCACAAAAGGCCATTGCAGAGGGATTTTGTCACTCCTATCACGGCTTTACCAGTCAAACACTCATCTGTCTGAGAGCCAATGGACAAACAGCAAATTAAAAAACAAATAACCTAATTCATTTTGAACATAAAGCCAGACTGCAGGCAGGCAGGCGGAGGGCGCAGACTTGGCGCTGCTCGGCTGAGATACTGCCCTCTACTCAGCCGTGTGTTGGTTAAAGTGGTTCTCATGATTTTACACTGACAGAAATAGCTGTGTACGATGTAGGGCCCATGCTGTGAGCTCACATGATCCAAGCAGCACCGGCCTGCACGAGCCTAACCCTGACCCTGTCTAGTGGACTCACAGAAACTGCCAAAACAACCCTGAGGGGAAATAATCACCACGGATTTAGATTTGAGTGACAATTTTATGATGCTGGACCTGTTTTCACCTCGGTTCATTTACTTTTATTTTAGGATTGGTTAAGTGAATAAGTCACTTCTATATCAGATAATGGGGAGAAATATGACTCTGGATCCAAACCCAGAGTCTTTAGTCCACTAGAGACGATGCATGGTAACAGCTTGACCCAGTGGAGGGCTGGACAATGAACTCCAGAAGACTTAAGCTCCTTACACACCAAGCCGATTTTAGGCATCGATAGATGTCGGGCCGTCGATGAGCGTCGTGTCGCCCTACTCAGATTGGTGTGTACTGCACCGTCGTGTCTTTTCGGCCGTGCCGACACTTTCCGCCACCGATTCGACATGTTGAATCGGTAGGCTGTCGGCCAAAGCTTAAATCTCTAAAGCTTATGTTAACCACAT